TGCTGGGTCAAAAGGAAGTTCCATTTTTAGCTTCTTGAGGACATTGCAAACTGTTTTCCATAGTGGCTGTACTGAGCTTTTTCTTATTTTTTGAGGTTGGCTTGTAATGCTATGAATTTCCCTCTCAGGATTCCTTTCCAATGTCCCACACATCTTGGATTGTTGTGTCCTCATTTTCATTTGTTTCAAGGTATCTTTTGATTTCTTCCTTGATCTTATTGTTGACTCATTCATTGTTTAGTAACATTTTTCAGTGCTGTTCTTGTGATGCATTTCTAGTTTCATAACATTGTGGTAAGGGAAGATGCCTGATACGATTTCAATTTTTTAAATTTATTGAGACTTGTTTTTTTTGTCCTAATGTATGGTTTATCGTAGAATATGTTACATGTACACCTGAAAAGTATGTATATTCTGTTGCTTTGGGGTGAAATGCACTGAAGGCAACAATTAAATCCATTAGATCTAGCGTGTCGTTTAAGGCTGCTGTGTCCCTGTTGATTTTCTGTCTGAAAGATCTATCCATTGAAGTCAATGGGGTGTTAAAATCCCTGACTATGACTGTATTTCTGTTGATCTCTCCCTTTATGTACAAGATTTGTTTCACATATTTAGGTGCTCCTATGTTGGGTGCATAAATGGTTACCATGGTTATATCCTTTTGTTGGATCGCTCCCTGTATGATCCTGTAGTCGACCTCTTTGTCTTTTACTGTAACCTTGGTTGTAAAGTCTATTTTGTCAGATATAAGTATTGCTATGCCAACTTTTTTTCTTTCCATTTGCATGAAATATCTTTTTCTATCCCTTTACTCTTTGTCTGTTTGTTTCTTTCAATCTGAGGTGGGTTTCTCTTGGAGGCAGCGTATGTATGGGTCTTGTTTTCTTATCCATTCAGCTACTCTCTCTTTTTTGGTCAGAGCATTTAAGCCATTTACATTTAAGGTGATTATTGATAAAAATGTATGTAGTGCCATTTTATTGTTATACTACTTCTTTTTTTTTTTCTCTTTTTCTATTAGAGAAATTTTCAGTCATTATTTCTTGATGGTTCTTGATCCCTGGCTTGCTCTCTTCTCCTCCTGGTATTCCCATGACATGGATGTTATGCTTCATGTCGTCCAAAATGTTTCTTAAGTTCTCATTTTTTTAAATTCTCTTTTTCTTTTCACTGCTCTGCTTGGGTGTCTTTTTTTAACCTTTTCTCCCAACTCCCTGATTAGATCCTCTGCTTCATCTAACCTACAGGTTTTTCCTTCATGTGTACTTTTTCTTTTTTTTTCTTTCTTTTATTTTCTTATTTTTAAATACATTTGTCTCTGCTTACCCCCCACCACTTTCCCTTGCCCCCCATGTGTACTTTTTAAATTTCAGATACTGCCACCTTTTTATCTGACTGGTACTTTTTTATGGTTTCTATGTCTTTTTCATGTTGTTAAGCATCCTTTTAATCATTACTCTAAACTTTTTATCTGATAAATTGTTTGTATCTATTTCATTTAGTTTTTCTTTTATAGAATTTTCTTGTTCTTTCAATTGGGGCTGTTTCTTTGTCTTCCCATTTGGGCTGTTTATTTGTATGTTTCTATGTATTAGGTAGATCTGCCTGGACTCTGTCAGCTCTCTCTACAGAGCCACCAGCCTCAGCAACTTATGTCAGATACTGCCTGTGACTGGCTCTGGGCAACCTGTTGCAGCTATCAGCAATCCATAGCCTGTGGCTTCTATTGCTGGGTCTGGGTAGGTGCACAGAGAACTAAGCTGTGCACAGTGGCCTGCTTTTACCAGCACTGGGCCTGGAAAAAGGTCTGCTAAAGTCTCAGAGCTCCCAGAGATTCGCCTTTGCTGTTGGACTTAACACTGTAATTGCCTCCAGCTGCACTCAGCAGCTTGACTTAAGCTCTGTAGGGTAGGGCGAGAGGGATTCCTGCAAGCAGGACTGTTGCTTCCCCTCAGGTTGATGCTGCATGGAGGGAAGCACTATGCCCAAGAAAGATGGCTTCTGCAGTGTGGGGAATAACTCAGTACACACAGGGACTCTGGTGGCTGATCCTTCAGCTCTCTCTACAGAGCCACCAGCTTCAGTCTTTACTCATGCATCTCTAGTCCACTTTGCCCTCTCTCCTCCAGAGTCCAGAGTAAGTAGCTACAAATGATAGTCTCTGTGTTAGCCCTTTCAAGAGTCTCTCTGCATCTTTAGCCATTACTCCCTGGCAGAAAGAAACTCTGTGGTTTTTTGCAGCTGGTTGTTATGTGGGTTCCTTTCTTGGTTCTGGTGCCCTAGGCTGGGGTGCCCAACTTGGGGTTTAGATCCCACACTTCTCAGTGTGAACCCCCCAGAAGCTGAAATATCCCTCTGGACCTTCAGCTGCTGAGTGTGGGAGCCCAGCTGGCCTTCTCTCAACTCCTCACTTTCTACCAGTCTTGTTGTGGTGAAGTGGTTTCTTCTGTCTCTCCTTGGTTATAAGGCTTCTCTCTAGCTAGTGTTCAGTTTGTAATTCAGGATGATTTTTCTTTAATTTAGTTGTAATTCCAATTTGGTCCTGGGAGGAGTGTAGCTTCTACATACTCTGCCACCATCTTGGTCTCCTTTAAATGTTTTTAAACAAGCAATTATATTATGTAACTCAGTGCTATCTCTTAATCATCAAAAATGATTCCCAACGACTTGGCTATTTTAAAAAATCACATGCATCTTCAAGAGGCAAATATTTGCTGCCACTTAGAAGATCAAGAAATTGAACTTGAATGTGGAATAATCCTTAGAGAGATGTAGGGAGTTGAAACCAATTTACCAGAGGTTGTTTGATTATCTTCATGCCATAGCTTATCAAAATACTATAGTTGAATGGACAATTTTGGGACCATCTTAAAATATCAAATTTAAAAATCATAAGGATTTAGTGGATTATATAACCACACATTATAAGGAGCCAAGGACAGTACTTGCTGCTGCTGGAGAAATTTCCCATGATGAACTGCTTGAGATAGCAAAATTTCATTTTCGTGATTCTTGGCCCACATTCAAAGGAGAAACACCAGCTCTGGTTCACTGCAGATTCATAGCAAGTGAGATTTGAGGGAGAGGCAACAAGATTGCTTTGGCGTACCTTGTAATAGCTGTTGGTTGGGCACATCCAGATACAATATGTCTCATGGTTGCAAACACACTGATTGGCAACTATGATTGTGCTTCAGGAGGAGGAATGAATTTGTCTAGCAAGCTGGCCCAGCTCACCGGTCATGGCAACCTCTTCCATAACTTCTAGTCTTTTAACACTTCTTGCACAGATACAGGATTATGGGGAATCTATATGGTTTGTAAACCAGCCACCATTGTAGACATGCTACATGTTGTTCAAAAAGAATGGATGTGACCCTGTACAAATGTCACTGAAAGTGAAGTTGCAGGAGCCAGAAACCTGAAAACAAACATGTTGCAACTCAATGGTTGTGCTCCAATTTGTGTAAACAAGTATTATTCTGAGATAGAAGAAATCTCATGCCTCTGCCTGAAGCAAGAGTTGATGCTGTGAATGCTGAGAAAATTTGAGAAGTATGTACCAAATATATTTATGATAGGAGTCTAGCAACTGCTGCTGGTGGTCCCAGGGAGCAACTTCCAGATTTTTTAAAAAGATTTTATTTATTTACTTTTAGACAGAGGGGAAGAGAGGAAGAAAGAGGGAGAAAAACATCAATGTGTGGTTGCCTCTTGCGGGCCCCTTACTGGGGACCTGGCCCACAACCCATGTACCCTGACTGGGAATTGAACTGGTAACCCTTTGGTTTGCAGGCCAGTGCTCATTCCACTGAGCCACGCCAGCAAGGCCACAACTTCCAGATTTTAAGTTGATTTGTAGTAACATGTGCTGGCTTCGTGATTAAAATGCCCCTAATCAAAATATTTTGAACATATATTTTTATAAAACTAACAGACTGGCAAGTTTTAAGGTATCAATCTCTAAAGCAAAAATAAAAATAAAAATGAACATACACACTTGTAAATTTAAATGAAATACTGTGTCAAACTTTCAAAGGATAAGATTACCACAGTGAATGGTAGATCTCTGAGGGATTATGTTGGAACACCATATTTTCAAATTATCACCATAAATTTAATTTTAAGAAAGAAAATTTGTAAAGTATTTTAGTTTAACTATAAAAATAGACACACAACAAAGACTGTCTAACTCATTTAGTGGCTCTGCTTACAAACAGTACTTGCTCTTGAGTGTCTCTGTTTTTACCATCTCGATGAGTTCCTAGGAAGGGAGAAAGTTGTTATTTAGAATTGGTAGACATTTCTAGTGTTTGGTTTAAATATGTAAAGCATTCAAATTAGATAAATCTGTAATTAAAGACACTACTGAAAAGGTTGGTTTTACTAACTGCCAGAGGTCTGAAAGTTCCTAAGGTTGGTCATTTATTTGTAATTGTGGTCCCATGCCTACTGTGGTATTGAAATAAGTAAAAATTTATAAACTCAAAAAATCTACAGCAAAAACAACAGAAGAAGCATGCTCAAATGGCTCTCATGGGAATAACACTTGGAAGAGAGCTTGATGAATTTAATAAGAATGACCCAGACTGAATGTAGAGTTAGAGCTTTGGTGGAAGGGAATAAAGGTTGATGAGGTTAGACAGAGGGACGCTGGGGTCACATCACTATCTCCCCTTCTTCCCTCCTGCAGGGAGGAAATACATGGAATCTAAAGGACCAAATTCTAGAGCTGGGCATGTCATACTGTATTCATAATTTATTAATGTATAAGTGGTTTATGTTAATTCAAAGTCCTTTTTTTTTTGTCTTGATTGTTTTCTTCTGTCAATTTCTTGTGAAATTGTAGTCAAAATGGTTTTCTGAGCTCTATCATTGTGCCACAAGTCTGTCACTCAATGGCTGCATTTGAGGAGGACAAATAATTATGTGAGCAGCATGACTTTCTGACAAACAAATTAAGCGCAATATTTATTAGTAATAGCTGCTTTCTCTTACAGTGGATAATGAAAAACTGCAGGGTGGATTCATGTTGTGCTTCCTGGATGATGGATGTGGTATGAGCCCTGGTAAGTTAATTATCTCGATACCTAACTGGTTGTTAGAAGAAACAGCCTGAAAACCCATAAAATAAATAAAAAGTAAATTGAGCAAGCTGTGCAAAAACAGGTATGGAGCTATTAGGGAAAATAAACCCCCAGCCTTAACATAATGAACTTTTTAGGTTTAAATATTTCGCCTGGCAGAGTAGATTCATTGCAGCCATCTAAACCAAGACAGAAAGTGAATGTTAATAAATATCACCAGAAAAATGAAAGGCAGAAGGTACCTGATTACTTGTATGAAAAAAACATCTGGGAATGAATGGAATACAAATAGTTACTGGTTGGATTATGCGATCGTTTTTTAGACCATCCTTCAGGTATTGCTTGTGAGAACCCTGAGGCAGTTTCCAATGTTTTTAGGCAATTTAAAATTCTCTGCTTAACCTTGAGGTAGAGGTCACATCTCGTTTTTAGCAGTTTGTGATTTTTCTTTGCATGTCCAAAAGTTTAGTTGATTCAATTGAATGTACCCATCATAGTGATACCTCTACAATACATTTCATGAATTATCTTTGTATCTTCAAAGCTAGCAAGAAGCCAGCACATAGTAGGTGCATAATACCTATTTGCTCTGGAGTTGAAATGTTTATTTCCTCTGATGAGGGCTTTGAGTTATTTGGGCTAACCTAACCTTGAATTCTTTTTTTTAAAATTATATTTTATTGATTATGTTATTACAGTTGCCCTGATTTTTCCCCTTGGCCCCACTCCACCCAGAACCCCCCGCCCCCTCAGGCAATCCCCTCATCTTTGTTCATGTCCATGGGTCATGCATATAAGTTCTTTGGCTACTCAAGGGGTGTCCAGCTTTTGGTGATTGGGGCCATACTGGAAGAAGAAAAGTTGTCTTGGGCCACACATTAAATACATTGCAACATGTAATCACAAAAAGATCTTGTAGTTGTAAGTAAATTTATAATTTTGTGTTGGGCCCATTCATAGCCATCATGGGCCACATGTGGCCTGCAGGCTGTGGATTAGACACCCCTGCTCCATTTCCTGTACTGTACTTTACATTTCCATGGCTGTTCTGCAACTACCTGTTTGTACTTAATTCCTTTGCCTCTTCACCCATTCTCCACCTCCCCCTTCCATCTGGCCACCATCTGGTAACTAACTTCTTTTCTCTTGCTGCTTTTATATTGTCTCTTTATCTTTAACCTTTGCCTTTTTAATTATGATGTGTCTTGGAGTGGGCCTCTTTGCATCCATCATAGTTAGGACTCTGTGCTTCCTGGACTTGCATGTCTATTTCCTTCACCAAATTAGGGAATTTTTCTTTTGCTGTATTTTCAGATAGATTTCCAATTTCTTGCTCTTTCTCTTCTCCTTCTGGCACCCCTATGAGGCAAATGTTGGACCTCTTGAAGTTGTCCCAGAGGCTGTTTATACTATCCTTATTTTTTTGAATTCTTTTTTCTTCTTCTTGTTCTGTGTGGTTGTTTTTTGCTTCCTTGTTTCAAATCATTGGTTTCATTCCCGGTTTCATCCACTCTACTGTTATTTTCTTATAAATTGTTCTTCATTTCAGTTAGTGCATCCTTTGTTTCTGACTGGGCCTTTGTTATGTTGCTGAGATCATCACTAAGTTCCTTGACTATACTTAAAACCAGTGTTTTGAGCTCTGCATCTGATAGATTGCTTATCTCCATTTCATTTAGTTCTTTTTCTGGAATTTTGATCTGATTTTTCTCTGGGCCCTGTTTCTTTGTCTCCTCATTTTGGCAGCCTCCCTATGTTTGTTTCTGTGTAATAGGTAGAGCTGTCTTGAAAACAGAAAACTAACTCTACAAGTCTGAAACAAGTAGCCCTTCCTTCCTAGGTAGTATTAGATCAGAGCCATTCCATTCTTTTCAGTATCACATGGGGCTAAATAAAGGCCAGGTTTTCTTTTTGTTTCTGAAATATTTGAAATACTATATAATGTACATTGTCTTAATTGATCCTGTTTTTAAATTTTATTATTATTATTTTTATTATTCAAGCACAGTCATCTCTATCCTCACTGCTCTCCCCCACGCCATTGACTCCTGCCTCCCACCCTCAATCTCACCCCCTTTTGTTTGTCCCTGGGTCTTTTGTACATGTTCTTCGAGGACTCTTCCCCTTCTTTCCTCCATTATCTCCCTCCCTCCTCCCCTCTGGTTACTCTCAGTTTGTTCTTTATTTCAATGTCTCCGGTTATATTTTGGTTGCTTGCTTGTTTGGTTGATTAGGTTCCTCTTATAGGTGAGATCATACGGTATTTGTCTTTCACTGCCTGGCTTATTTCACTTGGCATAACGCTCTCCAGTTTCATCCATGCTGTTGTGAAGCATAGGCGCACCTTCTTTCTTTGTGCTGCATAGTAGTATTCCATGGTGTAAATGTACCAGTTTTTTGACTACTCATTTACTGATGGGCACTTAGGTTGCTTCCAGCACTGGGCTATTGTAAATTGTGCTGCTATGAACATTGGTGTGCATAGGTTCTTTTGAATTGGTGTCTTGGGATTCTTAGGATATAATCTAGCAGTGGAATTGCTGGGTCAAAAGGCAGGGCAGTTCCGTTTTTAGTTTTTTGAGGGGAATTCCATACTAAAAAACTAAATTCCATTTAGTTTTTTGAGTGGAAAACCACTGTGTTTTCCACAGTGGTTTTTACTAGCAGTACAAATAATCATAGTACTAAAAATTTATTAGCATTTATCAAATGCCACGTGCTGTGTCCAGGGTTTGAAGATTACATCTTATTTAGTTCATTTTAGTTATCTTTATCAAGAACTGTGTTATAAGTATTAGCATTTCCTTATTAGAGAGGAGGAAGTGAAACCTCAGAGTTTTAAACTCTTATTTGACTAAATTCATAGGGTTAAGTCTGCCGAACCTCTTTTGATATAATAGCAATAAGATCCTGGTCAGAGATTATTGGGCCTGTGACAAGGAGCCTTGCTTCTGGGCTGATCCAAGAGGTATGGATTTGTCCTAATGCCCTGAGATATGTGTGATATCCCAAGGACTGGACATCTGGCCTCTATGAACTACTCGTAAGTCCTAACCACATTAAACATTTTTGTGTATTACAGAGGAAGCCTCAGATATCATTTACTTTGGAACATCCAAGAAACGGTTATCACCCTTGAAGTTTATTGGGCAATATGGCAATGGTCTTAAAAGGTGAGAATTTTTTTCTTTGAGGCATGTATTATCGATACTGAAAAAATATTTAGTTAAAGACAATCTGATACAGCATGGTCCAAATTCACAAAACTTTTAAAAGAATATAAACTTGGGAGTCCTACCTTGTTTTGGAACTTCCATGCCCATAACTGACTGAGATCTTTACAATATTTTAAAATTTAATTTTCACATAGATGATGGATTTTCTTTCAGGAATATCTGTACTCTAGAGCTTAATTGCATCTCTGTGGTTTATTGTTTCTCAAAGCATAGCGTAGCATAGGTGCTGTTTGTTTCCATGGCTTATTTCAGTAGACTGCTTCAATGAAAGGGAAAGACACAGGCCGCTGTCATTAGTGTGGCTCCAGCCAGGGACGGATGATTGCTCTCTTCTTCAACACTAGACAGCACCTTCTCTTCAGAAGTCATGTCTCAAGCAGCAGTTTGGGACTGGTTTAGTTTGAATCAATCTGCTCTACTTTTAGAAAAGAAATCATATTGTACCCTCTTGGTGATGGGTCAACAAAACAGTGGAGTTATTTCTATGAAAAGAAAACCCTTCCTTTCAGTGTCTGAGATATAAACTGTTACGTTCTTGAATTTTTTTTTTGTAGTGGATCTATGAGGATTGGAAAAGACTTTATTCTTTTTACAAAGAAGGAAGAAACAATGACCTGTGTGTTTTTTTCTCAGACATTCTGTGAAGGAGAAGGTCTGAGTGAGGTAAGAGTTGAGATTTTTCTTCCAATCCAATAATATTGGTATTGTTTTCTATAATGAGTTCTTTCTGATTATGATTCAGAAATTTAGGAGTATGTTTGGGAAATCAGGAAAGGTGGCTGGGATCATTGGAGGCCTGTCTTGCTGACCCTTTCTTGGGTTTTTAACTTCTAGGCAGTTTTAGTAACTTTATTTACATTATTGATATACTCAAACCTCCCAGAATAAGACACTCCTTTTGGCACAATGAGCTTTTTTTTGGAAGAAGTCTGCAAAACATTTCTACGACTTCTGCCAAAATTGGATTATCAGTATTAAATAGAAAAATGGATTCAAAGTCTTAGAATATAAAATCTAAAGAAAGTGAATGTGAAATAGACTTAAAACTGTTAACTTGAGGGACCATGATTTCAGCTCCATTTGCTGACCCAGAGATAGTAATTTACAGTGTCTGAGTTTTACTATTAAGAACATGAGTTATAATTCAGTACATCAAATACACATTGAGGAACTGCTGTCTGCCCAGCATCGGATAGACTCTGTGAAGGTAGAAAACAAGGAGGAGACCATGTGACCATAAAAGTGTTTTCAGAGCTGTCAGAAAATAAGGCAGACACATATGAATTGGATAAATAACAAAATGGAGGTGTTGACTTGGGGTGGTGAACACACAATACAATATACAGATGATGTATTACAGAATTGTATACTTGAAACCTATATAATTTTATTAACCAGTATCACTCCAATAAATTCAATAAAAAAGAAAAAAAAACCCAAAACCAAAATTGGTGTGTTTAGAAAGAATGCTTTTCAGTGAGTATATATATATTCCAGCTGTTACAGATTGTCAAAAACAGTCATATGGATGGAGACATCAGAGAACCTTGAGTGGTTAATAAGCGTTTCATGGAGCGAGTATAACTTGCAACTGTAAAGACTGGTTTATGGAGGGAAATGGTGTACAGCAAGTCTCAGACCTGGAGGACAGTTTGGGGTTTGGAGGGACAGTATGAAAATGGGAGCTGGCCCAGCAGGCGCAGAGTGTGCTCACTGGCTGCAACGGGCTGGGGCGGAGGAGCAGTCGGCATAGCGGGTAGCTGAGTGGGACGCTGGCGTGAGGGAAGAAGATGCTTTAAGCACTTACATTGTACTTCATGTGTGTAAAGGGCATGAGAAACTGGGCCAAAGCTCTGGGGTTAATGCTTTTCTAAAATGGACTGTTCCCCCCACCCTACCTTTTTTTTTTTTTTTTTTTTACTAAAACCAGCTACCTCGTTCCATTTCCACAGAAGCAGTTTCTTTCAGTAATATTACCTGATACTTTTGATATTTTTTCTGAATATCTCTATGTAACAGGTTTGTAATGGCTTTTTTTTGGTTTTGCTGCAGGGAAGATATTTAATCAATAAATTCACAAATATCAACATTGCAATAAAACTGTACAAATATTTAGCTAAATTGCAAAACTGTTATGAGTGTTCCCAGCATGCTATTGGCATTATAAGAAATCACAGGATAAACTAGGCCTTTTTGCAGTTGTATTGCTACTTTTGATTTGATTTAGGCATTATCTATTAATCTTCCACTATGAAAGAGGAGGGTTTATTTTTTTCTTCTGTGCCTTTCACATACTTACCCTTCCATTTCCATAGCTCAATTGTAATTATGGTTATGACAATATTCAGTATTTACATGAAGAGACTATATAAACACCATTCTTAATTATATCATGATATAAACTGTTATTTTTCCCTTTCTTGCACAACTTTATTTTCCCTGGAATGAATAATTGTCTGCTCAGTGTTCTGTGAACTTATCACTACCACCCAACACTTGCTTGGTTTTCGATGTCTTTATCACTTCTTGCATGCTGCAGCTCACACTTTTCCCGGGTGGTGTTCAGCTGCCATCCCGGGATCTGCCCGTGCCGTTGTCCAGGCAAGTCTCTCCATCTCTTTTCTGTGTTACATTTCAGACCCTAGATCTCATGTCTTCTTCCATAGCTTTTTCTCTTTTTTGATGTAACACATCCTCCGGTAGCATTTTAGCAAGGGTGCATGAGAGAGAAAATTATTTTGAGATATCAAATGGATGAAAATGTTTTTGTCTTAACTGAAAATGTAACGATTGTTGGGTTTGGTGCTATTGCTAGGTTGGAATAAATTTCCCTTAAGAACTTTGAAGACATTGCTCCATTATCTTCTAATTTCTAGTGTTGTTATTAAGGAGTGTGAAGCCATTTTAATTCCTGAGTCTCATATGTGACTCAGCCCCCATCCCCAACTCTTTGAAGGTCAGTTGAATCTTCTTTGTCCAGATTGCCTCCAGCATTCTGATTTCAGTGTTTTGACTTTGGGTGGATCTATTTGGAACCATTGTGCTGGGCGCTTGTTGGACATTTTCAGACAAGATCAGGCGCGTTCAGGGTGGTATGGCTGGAGACTTGTTGGACACTTTCAAAATGGAAACTCATCCTTCAATTCTGTGGTATTTTCCTATAACATTTAATGATTTTCTTTCATCCATATCTTTTTGTAGCTCCTCTTTCTTAACTCTTGGATGTCTAAGATCAGTTCTTTAATTTTCTTATCTTTCCTTTATTTTGTCCACCGTATTTTTGTTTTGTTTTCTGGGAGATTTTTTTATATTTATATTTTAACCCTTTCCTAGAAAAATTTTTCCTGTAGTTATAGTCTTAATTTCCAAGAAATCTTTTCTTTTTTCTCACTGTTTCTTTTTAAAAGATACCTAGTTCTTTTTCATGGATACAGTACTTCCTCTTAGAGCTCTGAAGATATTAACAATGATTGATTTTTTTTTTCTTCTGACAGTTTCATGTTTTTCTTAGGGCTTTTGTTCCCACTGAGTTGCTTTGTTTATACTGATTTGGTCTCTATTTATCATATTACAGGCTTTTCTTAGATGGTTATTCGTCCTGAATAAAGTATGTCCTCACTAAACTTCCTGGATATGTTCTTGGGAGCTATGACTTTAAAGAAACAATGTATATAACAAAACCAATTTTACCATAGGCTAATTGATGTAAATAAGAATTAAACTCCTACAGCATATTTCTAGTTAAAAAAACATCAAAACATCAACCAAACTTATAAAGACCCAAAACGCTTCCAATATTAAACATTGAAATAAATGTAAGCTACATGAATACATTTAATAAAGATTAATAGAAACAAGAAAATTATTTTCTTATCTGTTTATTTCAGTACAGGGTCAAGGGTATCTTCTCCCAGTATCCCAGAGCACCCTGTGGGACCCCACCCTCGATAGGGTGACCTTCCATTGCAGAGCCACTCACAAATACCCACGCTCACCCAGACTGAGACAGTTCAGACCCACCAGTCCGCCTCATGTGCACATCTTTGGGATGTGGGAGAAAGCCGGAGTATCTGGAGAAAACCCACCTAGACGTGGAGAGAATGTACAAACTCCACACAGACCGTGGCCCAGGCAGAGAATTTTTTTTCTTATCAGCATTGTAAGAAAAAATGTTGAATGGAATGACATTTGAGAACCTGCTGTACTTTAAAGATTATTCCAATAAAATGCCTATTGGGAGCTCTTGACAGTGTGGGTAGGGCATGGCAGAAGCGTCACGATAATAAGATCTAGCTGGGCTGTTTTATTGGGAAACCCTCAACATGATTTTCTTTATGTCTTTCCTACTGGGCTGGCCAGGTTTCTCAGAGAAGACATTTGCAGCCTTCTTCCTGAAGGCCTCCCTGACAGCTTTTTGGGAGCAAAGGGGAGAAGAGCTCTGAGATTCTCAGTATCTAATATGCATACTCTCATTTAATCCCTCTCATCTCAGTAACGTCCCCCGACAACTATACTTGGCATGTTATCTAATTTAGAAATGCTTTGTTCTGATCTTTCCAGAGAAGCAACTTTGGGTCCCTGTGGAGGTAGGGGAGGAGCTATTGCCAGATGGGGGTATGGGTACTTTTCTAACTCTCCTTTCCCCTTTGCTCACTTGTAGAGTTAATTCCCATGCATATTTGTAATGGTCTCTTCTTTATAAAATGGAGATACAGGAGGAAAGTAAACTTCTAATTTTGTGTTTGGTTTTGTAATTTGGCCGAAGAGTGGATTGAATTTTGATCAAAAGGATGATATTTTTAATTTTTGTGTTCATAGTAAATTAATGTAGTTGTTTTTAAAATAGGTTGTGGTTCCAATGCCTTCATGGTTAACAAGAACCAGAGAATCTGTCACAGATGATCCTCAGAAATTCTCAACGGAATTGTCTATAATTTATAAGTACTCTCCCTTTAAAACTGAAGCTGAATTAATGCGGCAGTTTGATGTAATCTATGGCAAATGTGGTAAGATCATCAAAACTTTGAAATTCTGTTGGAAGTGTTTGTTGTCAGTGTCTCATGAAAGGGGCTGTATGTATGCACTCATGTTTTTCCTCTTTGTAGTATCATGTGGAGTCTCACCCTGGGGCAGTCATTTATTTTATCCATACAAGCTTTGTATTAAGAGAATTCCAACATGTACAACTCTAAGTCCCTGACAAGGGGAGAAACGTTTGTACTTGCATGAACTTGGTGGAAATGGATGAGGAGAGAGTGCTACAGGCTGTGGCCACAGGGGCGCCACAGCGCCTGCACCAGATACCAAAGTTAGGGGATGCTTATTGCAGCATCTAAGATTAGATGAACCCAGGTTTGTAAGAGTTAGCAACTTACAAAGTGATGAGTCCAAATTTCTGGGGTAGTTAGCAAAAATCTTGTAGATACTCCTTTCCAAACTAATAGATCTTTTTTTGCATTCTTTCGGCACCAGCGTTCCACTCGACATGAAGAATGTCCTATGTCTAGTAATATTTTCCAATGTCAATATTTCTCTAGACTTCCAACACTTTTTATATCTAGAAGCCAAAACAAGCCTCCTCCAGAGAAAACTATGCACGTTCTGCTTTTTTCAGCTCCTTGATGTATGTAGTGTTTATAGAGAAACTCTTGAGAGATTTGTTTCTGATTTAGCCTACATTACTTTGGAGGTTCCTTCTCTAACCTGTGGCATTTTGTTTAATAGGGATGTTTTGTGTCATCTTTTCCCCCTTCTTATAAAGGAAAATATTGGCAATTAAACTATTCATTTTATTAACATATACACGCTATACTTTGAGGACCATTGATGTAATCTCTTACTTGACTTCTAATTGTGAAATACCCTTACAAATCCTAATGGAGAGCATACTACTTTATGAATACGTTTCTAAAACGTTTATAAAAATTAACTCATTTAATCCTCAAAACAACTGTATATTTTAGGTACTTTATAAACTCCACTGTATAGATTAAAAGAATTGGGTTCAGCGTGGTTAAAAAGCTTATCTGAGGTCATTGCACTAGTAAATGTTTGATCCAGGATTTAGACACAGGCATTTGGGTTCCCAAATCTAATCCTTAGCCACTACACAGTTCTCCCTTGTATTGAAGGAGTACCAAAAAAGTGTAATCGGCTTTTCTTTTAATTTCTCTGACAATTCTGTCTTCATATTATAAACAACTTTGTAAAGAATTGGACTTTTTTGTTAACTGCGCTTTAAGGCAGGGTCAGCAAACTATGGCCCACAGGTCAGATTTGGCTTATACATTTTCTTGTAAATAAAGTTTTATTGGAATATGGCCAGCTGATACATTTATGTATTCTCTGTGGCAGCTTCCATGCTGCAGCGGTAGAGCTGAGTTGTGAATAGTTGTGACAGAGACCATATGGCCTGTAGAGCATGGAATATCTATCATGTGGCCTTTTATGGAAAAGATTTGCCAACACCTGTTACAAGATCTAAAAGCAATACTTCATATTTGTACAAATTTTGAAGACTCATATTTGTTTTCATGTTCATTGATTGTAGTTCCACCAATGAGAACTTTGCCTGTAATACAAATTTGGCTAAGGCTCCTAAAATTTTTTATAATGCAAATTAAGAAAAGTCCCAAGTTTAAGAATCTGCATCGAAGGACATAGTAAATTGAGTAATGAAAAGAAGTACTATGCAGTAAAAGTTCAACACTTTAGCAGAGAATGGAATTTGCTGTAAGACATATATCTTGGAACTTATCCAAGCATATTTACTGAAGTACAAAGGGAAATTTGGCCGACAGCAAGCTTAAATCAATAGGTGAGATAATATCACCATGACTGATATTTAATGTAGTTAAAATATTGACAGATCAAACATCTGTTTTCCACTAGGTACTTTCCTGGTTATTTATAACTTGAAGATTTTGCTTAATGGAGAACCAGAGTTGGATATTAAAACTGACAAGGAAGATATACTGATAGCCGGAGCTCTTGAGGAGTAAGTAATGTGTGTTTGACAGAATGTCTGTCAGAATGGTGCGGAGCTGTAATCAGGAACCCTGCATCCTGGTCCCACGTGTGAGGCTACTGGGCCTTAGCATTGTACTAGGATAATTCATTTTACTCTAGTTACGATGAAGTAAATTAGACCATTGGTTCCAAAACCTGACTGAGCTAATGTGTGACCTGGGCAGCTTCTTAAGAAGGATAAGATCCTATTTTTTCCTAGACCTTCTGAGTCAGATTCTCTAGATATCAAGCCTAGAAATGAACATTTTCTATATGTTCCCCAGGTATTCAGAGGGGCCAGCATGTTTCCAGACCCGTGGAATGTAAGATCTCTAATAATAATTTCTAATTCCAAACCTCCTGTATTATGAATATTAAAACTGAAAAAACCATACCCATTTCATTAGTCATACAGAGCGTTAAAAATACATTAGTATGGTGTGAAGCAAAAAGAAATTATACCAAATGGCAGTTGAGAACGCCCCAACGAACTGCCTACTTGCAGTTTATAGATAAATGAATTGACAAATTCATTTTTCTTGGGTATTAGTAATCCATAGAAACAGAATGAAAAATGACTTGGCGGTGTGGGTGAAAAAGTGTGGGGAAATAATGAACTAGAGACTACACCTAGGTTTCTCTAAAATAACTTTGTATTTAAAACTTACTAGCTTGGACATGCCGTTTCATAGTGTTAGAATTTTAGAGCTGGAGGGTATTGAAAGGAATTTTATCCAATCTGTGACTTTTTATATACAAGTATTGTCCGGTAGAAATACAAGAGCCACAAATATGAACCACATATGTACTCTTAAGTTTTCTAGTAGCCACATTAATAAACATAAAAAGAAAGTGGTAAAATGAATTTTAGTAATCTTTTAATTTAATCTGGTATATATGAAATACTGTAATTTCAATTTGGATATAAAAATATGAAGAGATACTTTACACTCTTCTTTCATACCAAATTTTTGAAATTCAGAGTGTGTGTTATACATATAGCACATATAAAATTAAAACAGGGCCCGATATCCACAGGTGGCCAGTACTGCCATATTGGTCAGTGCAGTTTTAGACTTAGATATTAACGCCCAGGTAAACACGTCAGCTTAACAAAGAACTCTTCTTTTTTGTGTGTGTGTGTTTGAGGTAAAATTTAAAAAGTCTCTTCCACAGTTAGAAAATTTAACATTTGGTAACACTCTTTTAGAGATCTTTTCTACTTTTTTTCTGATTTATATTTTTCTCATTTTATTCTGACCTGTGGAAGTCCTAATTTACAAAGAAATGGAGGTGGTTTTCTTTTGGAATAAAAACCCAGCCCAATTACTATTGGACAGATGCTGGGAGCCCCTTTTCCAACATTGATTTGCCAGTGTCAGAAAGGAGGTCCGCAGCTGTTGCCAGCACCGCTGTTCCTGTCTCCCCGTTTCCCGCTGGCCCTGCCCTAAGCTGGCTCTAAAACCAGTATCTCATGCTGTTCAAAAGCTTTGAGCATAAATTTTCAAATGGCGCTCTGTCAGAGGGCCTTGGCATTTCAACACTAGGGTCAGAAAACAAAGCATTATTAGAGGATTAATTTGAAAGCTCATTCTTTGGGGAAAAGTTCGTAATGTTTCCAGATTGTTTAATGAAGCCAGAAGCTTTTTAATCCATTTAGACAGTTAATTATAATATAAAGAAAATGGATTAGACATGTACATTGACTACATTGGATTCTTTTTGTTTGATGTTTCAACAAAATTTTTCATAGTTTAATAACAAAGTCTTTTAAAGACAAGAATGGGACCTTATGAGAAGGGGTAGTGTAAAGAGGCCATAATTACTGTACCAAAGATAATATATCTTTCATGGCTTCTCATGGGAGTACATGGTGGTGCCAAGAAGGGGTGACAGTTTCACCTCGGGAGGCAGGTAGTAATGCCACCTGGTTTTCTCCTCTAAAAAGCTGGTGGGTCTGACATTAAGGCCCCATTCCTCTTTACTGACAGAAAAAAATTAGCTCTTGGGCCTAAAGGAATACTTCTGGACCAAGAAGGATCTTTTTCTGACAATTCCTGCTTTTATGACTTCGGATATTTGAACTTCCAATCAAGAGCAGTTTACATTATCTTGGTTTCTAAAACAAGTGGTTTGTAATGTAATAATAATTCCGTTACCGTTTTTTTCTTCTTGTAGTTACTGTGTCCCCATAAACCCACTAGGCATGATTCTGCATCAGTCCAAAACAAGTTTCAAACATTGGAACTGTTTTATTTTCACCTTTGGTCTTAGACAGTGTAGTCCTGCTGGTTCTGCAAATAATTCAATTTTCTACATAGCAATAGGAAATTATAAGCTTTCAGGCTTTTATTTGGCCTTAGAGATGAGGTTTCCTGGTATTATTTTCTCCTAATTTTGTATGTTGTAAAATCCAAAATGAAACAATATTTTAAAATTTTTTTAGGAAAATTTATATGTTATCATTATTAATTTGTATTTCTCCATTCTGGTGTTTAAATGTAATTTCTCGTTTTTCTTTTTTCATTTATGATTTGTTTCTAAACTTTATTCTCAGTTATTATGTAGACTTTCTTCTCCAATTTTAATTTTAATTTACTTTTAAATTAATTTTTTTCAATGCAGTTTACATTCAATATTATTTTGTATTAGTTTCAGGTAAACAGCATAGTGGTTAGACAGTCATGTACTTTATAAAGCATTCCCCCTGATATTTCTAATATCCAACTGGTACATACTCTGTTATTACTGTATTATTGACTATATTTCTTTTTTTACTTAAAAAAATTTTTTTTGTTCAAATACCTTTGTCTCCATGTCCCCACCACCACTTTCCCCTGTCCCACCCATCCCCACCCTCAATCCTTCCCCACTTTGGCTTTGTCTGTTCATCCTTTATACATGTTCCTTGATTTGACCCTTCCCCTTCTTTTCCCCATTACCCCCCTCCCTCCTTCCCTCTCTTTATTAGTCAGTTTTTTTTTCTTTCAGTGTTGCTGGTTATATTTTCCTTGCTTGTTTGTGTTGTTGATTAGGTTTCACTTACAGGTGAGATCACATGGTATTTGTCTTTCAACACCTGATTATTTCGTTTAGCATAATGCTCTCCAGTTCCATCCATTCTGTCATGAAGGGTAGTAGCTCTTTCTTTCTGCTGTGTAGTATTCCATGGTGTAAATATACCATAGCTTTTTGATCCACTCATTCATTGATGGGCACTTAGGTTGCTTCCAGCACTTCGCTATTGTAAATTGTGCTGCTATGAATACTGGAGTGCATAGGAGTGCATAGCTTCATTTGAATTGGTGTTTTGGGATTCTTAAGGTATAATCCCAGCAGTGGCATTGCTGGGTCAAAAGGCACTTCCATTTTTAGCTTTTGAGGAAATGCCAAACTGTTTTCCACAATGGCGCACCAGTCTTCATTCCCACCAACACTGTGCTAGAGTTCCCCTTCCTTCACAACCTCACCAGCACTTCTTGTTTGTTGATTTGTTTATGATGGCCATTCTGACCAGTGTGAAGTGGTATCTCATTGTGGTTTTAATTTGCATTTCTCTGATGGCTAGTGATGCTGAACATCCTTTCATATGTCTCTGGACCCTGTGTATGTCCTTGGAGAAGTGTATTCAGGTCCTTTGCTCATTTTTTAATTGTGTTGTTTGTCTTCCTGGAGTAGAGTCATGTGAGTTCTTTATATATTTTGGAGATCAAACCTTGTCTGAAGTATCATTCAAATATATTTTCCCATACAGTTGGTTCCCTTTTCATTTTGCTCGTTTTCTTTAGTCGTACAGAAGCTTCTTATTTTGATGAAGTCCCATTTGTTTACTCTTTCCTTTGTGTCCCTTGCTCTAAACGGCATATCAGTAAAAATATTGCTGCATGGGATTTCCGAGAGTTTTCTGCCTGTGTTCTCCTCTAAGACTTTTATGGTGTTGTTACTTATATTTAATTCTTTTATCCATCTTGAGTTTATTTTTGTGTATGGTGTAAGTTGGTGGTCAAATTTCAATTTTTTGCATGTAGCTGTCCAGGTTTCCCAGCACCATTTGTTGAAGAGGTTATTTTTACTCCATTTTATGCTTCTGCCCCCTTTTTCAAATATTAATTGACCATAGAGGCATGGGTTTATTTCTGGGATCTCTTTTATGTTCCATTGATCTTTATGTCTGTTCTTACACCAGTACCAGACCGTTTTGATTACAGTGGCCTTGTAATATAGTTTGATGGTAGGTATTGTGATCCCTCCTACTTTGTTCTTCTTTCTCAAAATTGCTGCAGCTATTTGGGGTTATTTATGGTTCCATATAAATTTTTGAAATGTAGAGGAGGGCCAAGTCCTTCTAGGGGCAGGGTTATTGGGTCCTCTCATGCTGCTGCCACTCAGGAGAGTGGTCTGTCTGAGCCAGATGGCTGCTGCTGTATGGGGGAGGAGTCAGCACCGAGATTCTGCCAGCTACATTTTCTGTTCTCTCCCCAAAACCTCTGTCTCCAGTCTCTCCTCAAGTGTCTCTAGATCACTCTGCGCCCCCTTTAGCCAGGAATCTACTATCTCTGACTGTAGCTCTGTATCAGCAGTCAGACTTGAGCACAACCAGGCCAGGACAGAGCCTCTAGGGGGCGAGGCTAGTGTCCTCTCACCCTGTTGTGGCTCGGCAGAGTGGTCTGCCTCAGCAGGATGACTGCTGCTGTATGGGCGAGGAATCAACACTGGGATCTCACTGGCTATTCCCTCAGTTCTTTCCCCAAAGCCTCCCTGCAAGTCTCTCCCCAGGCGTCTCCAGCCCATTCTGCTCCCATCTTTACCAGAGACCAGGGTAAGTGGCTGCAAATAAAAATTTATCTGTTGGCCCTTTAAACGGCTCTTTACATCTCCAGCCACCTGCCTTTGGCAGAGAGCAACCCTGCCACTTTTTGCAGCTGGTTTTTATCTGTGTACTTTATGGGCTCTGATGCTGTAGGCTGGATATCCCTGTTTATGGTTTAA